GGCAGGAGGTGGGTAAAGAAGCAGATCTTAAGAATTAGAAGTGCAAAGAGGGAATATAAAAAAATCATTGGCAGGTAAAACTTTCAATGCAGAGAAATGTAAGGTAATGCTTTTTGCTGTAAGAAACACAAATGGACAACACAGGCTCAATGGTACAATTCTAATGGGAGTACAGGAGCATAGGGACCTTGGAGTTCACATGCATAATTCTCTGAAGGTGGCCAGGCAAGTTGAAACAGTTGTTCAGAAGACAGAGGCACAGAGTTTGAAAGCAAGGAAGTAACAATACACCTCTACAAATCATTGGTCAGACGACATTTGGAGTATTATGTTCAGGTCTGGGCATCTTTTTTTAAGGAAGCATGTTAAAACCCTTGAGGGAATTCAGTGGACATTAACTAGAATGAAACCAGGAGGAAGGGATTTTAAATACAAGGAAAGATTGAAGAAGTTGAGCTTATTGTCCTTGGCGCAGAGAAAATGGTGACCTTATTGAAATGTTTAAAATTATAAAAAGCTTTGACACCATAAAGGACATTCTGTTTCCATTAGTTAGTATGTCAGTTACCAGGGATCACAATTTCACAATGTCAGCAAGAGAGCTAAGAGTGAGGTGACGGAAAACTTCTTTACTCAGAGTTAAGTGAGAATGCTTTGTCAATGGGTGACCATATCAGGGAAGAGACCATAACTGGGTTAAATTTAGTATTGCTATTGCTATAAATCAGCAGTAAAAAGTTTTTAACTGGGGGAAGACAAATTTTAGAAAATTGAGAAGTGATTTGTTCAAGGTGGTCTGGACAGGACTGCCAATGGATAGCTCAGTGGTCAACCAGAGGGAGGCATTATAAAAGTGCGATCTTGAGGGCACAAAGCAGCCATGTCTCCTCCAAAAATAAAAATGTCATGGCCAAATCTAGACTCCAGCAGTTATCCAGAAAAATACAGGGGGAGATTAAACAGAAAAAGAAAGCTAACAATAGTTTAAAAAAAACTCAACATTGCAGATAGCGTAGAGGCATACAGAAAGTACAGGAACCAAGTGAAAGAGTATAAGAAGCAAGATCAAGGAAAACCCAAAGATGTTTTACCAGCGTAAAAAGAGCAAAAGGATAGCTGAGGAAACAGTTGGACCTATTCGATGAAGGAGGGAACTTGTCACAAGAAGCAGAGGATATGGAAAGAATTTTATGAATTTTGTTTCTCCGCATTCACAAAGGAAAGGGATGATGTGGAAATAGGAATGCAAGAGGAGCAGTGTGAAATATTGGACAAGATGAGGAAATATTGATATTTATAATAATAAATAATCATGACAGAGCTCCATGAAAAGTCAAGACTTGAAACATTGGCTTACTCTCTCTTCACAGATGCTGCCTGAACCACTGCGATTCCCAGCATTTTTTGTTTTTAGTGCAGTGGATGTTGTCTAAATTGATTTAAGTAAAGCATTTGACAAGGTCACACGTGGCAAACTGGTCAGAAAAGTAAAAGCACATGGGCTTCAGGGTAATGTGTCAAATTGGATCTAAAGTTAGCTTAGTAACAGGAAACGAAGGGTAATGGTCGACGGCTGTCATTGTGAATGGAAAATTGATTCAAGTGGTGTTCCACAGGGCCCGTGTTGGGATCTGTGCTGTTTGCTTTATACATTAAACGATTTAGACTTGAACATGGGGGATACAATTGGGAAATTTGGAGACTACACAAAAATTGACCATATAGTGGATAGTGTAGAAGATAGCTGTACGCTCCAAATCGTACAGATGCGTTGGTGGGTAGGGAGGAAAGTGGAAGATAGAGTTCATTTCTGATAAGTGTGAGGTAATGTATTTAGGGAGGCAGAACAGTAAAAACAGTACACACAGTAAATGGGAATATACCGAAATTGGTAGGTGAAGTTCAAGATTTTTGTGTGCAAGTACACAGGTGCCTAAAGATAGCAGTACAGCTAGATAAGGATGTAAAGAAGGCATTTGAAATGCTCTTCTTCATTCGTAGAGGTAGACAATATAAAAGTAGGGATATAATGATAAAACTGTACAAGACATTGGTGAAGCCAAACCTGGAGTAGGATGTGCTGTTCTGGTCGCCCCATTACAGGAAGGGCATAAATGCCCTCAACAGTGCAGAGAAGATTTGCTTGAATGTTGCCAAGGCTGAAGAATTGTAGCTATGAGGAGATATTAGAAGTGTTAGGGTCATTTTTCTTTGAAGAGAGAAGGCTAGTGGATGACATGATTGAAGTTTACAAAATTATGAGGTGCATAGATACAGTAGACAGGAGGAACCTGGTTGGCAAAGAGTTCAAAAACCAGGGTCATAGAATCAAACTAAGTGGCAGAAGGATTAAGGGGACATGAGGAAAATCTTTTTTTCTAGGCAGAGGGTGGTGACTGTTTGGAATTTGCTGCCCAAATTCATGGTGGAGGCAGATCGGATTAAAAAGGGCATCTGGGTATCTTCAGATCAGTATGGACACAACGGGTTGAATAGCCCTCTTCTATGCCATATCATTCCTATGGTTTCTATAGGAGTTAGAATTTGGAATGTGTTGCCTGGGGCAGTGATGGAGGCAGATTCCTCAGGTGGTTTCAAAAGACAGTGGGATATATATTTGAAAGTGAAGAAGTTAGAGGGCAATGGAGATAGGGCTGCAGAATGGGACTAGCTGGGTAGCTCTTTCAGGAGCCCGTGCAGACAACCTAGGTTAAATAGTCTTTTTCTATGATGAGATACTTTTGAAAGTCTGCTGCTTTGGCTGAGCCTGAAGCCATATTATGGTATTTAAGATGGCTGCCACTTAAAATCAGGGAGGCCACAGTTGTTCCAGGTCTGCTGGCTGTGACTGCAACACAACCAGTGGCAGAATAAAGGCCACACAGGAGAAAAAGCTCTGCAAAGTGGGAGGGGGAAGACAAAAGGTTTTGTTTGTACAGGGGGGATTAGCTACAAAGAATTTTTAGGAACTTTAAAGCATTTGGATCTTTTCCAGATGGGGTAAAGAAATATCACAAACACATTGACGTACACCATCCATCAGTGCACGCAGGAAGTCATGAAAGCCATCTACTGCAGAAACGTGCATAGTTTTCACCCTCAGGAACAAGAAGCAGGACAGATACATGTGGCTTTAACCAGGTCAGCAAAATTCCCAATGCTAAGTCACAACAAAAGGGAGAGATACAGAAATTGTTAATGTGCTGTGAATGCAGAGCTCTTGTGTGGTAACTGTTAGATCATGTTGGTAAAGACATTTATCAAGTCAACAGCCATCACAAAATTCATTCCGCACTGATGAGCATCTACAGCCCATGATAAAGAACCAGAGGCTGGCTGTTTGGACAGCAAAACCACAATTCTTGTCACATAATTAAGAAGCATTTTCCTTTCACCTCTTTTCTTTTTTCCCCCTGCACAATGCTCCAACATAATATTTAGTTTCCAAACTCCTCCTTCTTTGCCCTTGTATCACACATGCTGGGCAGGAACTTGGTTCCATGCCTTTTGCGAGCTACTGTGTAAGCATCCACCAGTCAGCACACAGTAGCTGACTCCCAAAACTGTCATTTCAACCTTGAAGAGCAGTTGCAGGCAGCACGGTGGCAAGCACCGCTACCTCACAGCGCCAGGGACCCGGGTTCAGTTCCACCCTCAGGCGACTGTCTGTGTGGAGTTTGCACATTCTCTCCGTGTCTGCGTGGTTTTCATCCGGATGCTCCGGTTTCCTCCCACAGTCCAAAGATGTTCAGGCTAGGTGGATTGGCCATGCTAAATTTCCCGTAGTGTTCAGGGATGTGTAGATTAGATGGGTTATAGGGGGATGAGTCTGGTTGGGATGCTCTGGGGGTCGTTGTGGACTTGTTGGGCCGAAGGGCCTGTTTCTACACTGTAGGGATTCTATGAAAAAAAACCACTTCTACATATGCTTGATCTCCACACCCATGCAGTGCCACTCCCATGACTCCCAGAAAGCTACAGGTCTTAAGAGACTGTAGATGGATTTACAGGCTGCTCTCAAGTAGCTCCAGGTCTTGCAGAGCTGCCTCTGGACTACCACACCTCCACATGTTGAATTATGTTTCAAGTTATTGACCTGAATGATTCTGATGAAAGACCAATAACTTGAATAACTTGTTCCTCTTTCCATTAATATCCTAACCTAAAATTTTTATTTCTTAATTTTATACTTCCACTATTGTGGTTTTTCCAGAGTTTTTTTTATTGCTACTGATAGTAATAAAATAGCTGTATTATGATAGTTCATTCATTTACTCGCTAGGAAATCTTGTAGCTTACTGACTTCTAAATAGCCTCCTCCAATAATCTTTTAATGAATGATAAAAAATACATGTAAAAAACACAGCTCAGCTTGCTGTTCTTGTTTCTACATTGTTGCATTAGGCTTAAGTGAGGTTCACCACCAGTAAATCCAGCAAGATTAGTCACCACATAACTGCTGAGACCACAATCTTTGTAAAATCTGTAATGTTGATAACAGTGGTTTAGGGCAGCACAGTGGCTAAGTGGTTAGCACTGCTGCCTCACAGCACCAGGGGCCCAGGTTCAATTTCAGTTTTGGGTGACTGTCTGTGTGGAGTTTGCACATTCTCCCCATGTCAGTGTGGGTTTCCTCCAGGTGCTCCTGTTTCCTCTCATAGTCCAAAGATGTTCAGGCTAGGTGGATTGGCCATGCCAAATTGCCCATAGTGTTCAGGGATGTGGAGATTAGGTGGGTTATAGGGGAATGAGTCTGGGTGGGATGCTCTGAGAGTCGGTGTGGACTTGTTGGGCTGAAGGGCCTGTTTCCACACTGTATGGATTCTAAGTCTAAGTCTAAATGCTTCCATCTTCAATTATTCATGGAATTTCCATGGAGTTTCTCTGATCCTCCACATTTACCTTGTTTCTTTGGTGTTTGTTATCTAATATTGAAGATAAGGTAGGAAATTGGGAATCTTTATGGAAATTCCTGCCCCAATTTTCATACTCATTCTTACCTGGTGGTGGTCCACCAAACTTCCTTTGTCCATTTTCTTGGATCATAGTATAGCCTGTCTGTTCCATCAAGGCAAGCAGTGCTGCTTCATTCTGGGTCACAGAGCCAAGCTTATTAGAACCATTTGTCATGTCCAAGCTTTCTGCTGTCATGGTCATACGGAGTACTTTAATTCTATACAAGAAGATACAACAAGTTTTGGTTTATAAGATGTGTCTATGTGCACTTTCCATTTCTGATTTTACTTAACCTAGACAAGTTTTAGCAAAAACACTTACACTTCTAAATTAAACAAAGATCTGTTTGTATTATCCTGTGCATGGTGGCTAATTGATAGTGAATAATTTATGAACACAGCATCAAGGTATAACTTCTAAAATCACATGATTGAAGTGTCACAGATGCCTATGAACATATTTAGCAACACTGCAGGGCCTGCTGCAGTGCTCCATCGAAGCTCAGGTGAAGCTGGAAGAACATCTCATTTTCTGCTCGGGAATTCTGCAACCTTCAAGACCTAATATTGGAGTTCAATAATGTTAGTACCAGAACACCTTCTTCCATAGCCTTTACCTAGCCCCAAAGCCGAGACCCTATTATGGTATGGGCTGCTTTCAGCACAGCCAACCTATTCTCACCTGCTTATGGTCCCCATTATCAGCTTTTCTTTCTCCTGAGTATACTGTTATCCATCCCTTTGTCTCCCTAACTGTTGTTCTCTCTCTCTCTCCCTCCGAGATCCATCTCTACCCGTCCTCTCACTCATTTCCTATCCTCACCTTGTGTTCATAATAAACACCACCAGGGTGGCATGGTGGCTCAGTGGTTAGCACTGCTGCCTCACAGGGCCAGACACCTGGGTTCGATTTTGCCCTGTGGCAGCTGTGTGGAGTTTGCACATTCTCCCATTATCTCTGGCATCCTTCCACAGTCCAAAGATTAGATGCATTGGCTATGCTAAATTGCCTACTGTCCAGGGATGCATAGATTACATGGGTTAGCCATGGGAAATGCAGGGTTACAGGCACAGGGTAGGGAGTGTGTTTGGGTGGGATAGTCTTCAGAGGGTCAGTATTGACTTGATGGGCTGAATGGCCTGCTTCCACACTGTAGGAATTTTATGATTTTAAAGCAACCACCACTTCTGAAGAAGTGACGCTGGGCTCAAAAATGTTAACTTCGTTTTCGCTCCACTGCAAGACTGGCTCAGTTTCTCCAGCAATTTTGGTTCTTGTAATGCATTTTAAATACCCCTCCCTAGACTGCTGCATATTTCAATGTAATTAAGCATAACGTAAAGGACTCCACTGAAGTAAAAATGAAAGCATGGTTAGAGAAAAAAATCTTGGCAAATATTTTGCACACTAATATCAATTTACTTTGACACAACACCAAATTTCAGTGGGATGTAGTCTCAGTGTGAAGAAGTTTTAGTTGCACTAATATTTCAGGTGGGTGGCATGATGGTACAGTAGTGAGCATTGCTGCCTCACCACGCCAGGTACCCGAGTTCAATTCCACCCTTGGGCAACTGTTTGTGTGGAGTTTGCACATTCTCCATGTGTCTGCGTGGGCTCCTACCAGGTGCTCCAATTTCCTCCCACAGTCCAAAGGTGTGCAAGTTAGGTGGATTGGCCATGCTAAATTGTCCCAAAGTGTCCAGGGAAGTGCAGGCAATCGTTATTCTGATATCATGATAATTGTTCCATGTCAAATAGGTGGCTGTGACAGTGTAAACCACTAGCCCACAGAAATAGGGTTGCTTTACAAATGTTCAGAATTATGGAGAAGTGTTTGTCAGACATTTAACTTCTTCAGATGGAAAAGTACCAAAAAGGTGGTCCAGGAAGAGTTCCCTAACACTTCTGTTACAGAGAAAGATGCTGATTTAAAATTTAAATGAGATCAGTACACTCCATTTGTCCGCTGCCATCATATGAGCCATCCTCAATCACTTTTTTCTATCTAATTAAATAATGTATGATTTAAACTGTTGCCACTTAACAAGATTAATAAACTAAAAATTCCCTGTGAATAGTCAACTGCTGTCCCAAATTCCAAAATACTTCAGTTGATGTCAGAAATAGGATATAGTCGGTTCTGCTATAACTCGTATTCAGGCAACGTAAAATGGCGATAATGTGACTGACAAATAGGGGAACACTATTTCTAAAACACAATGTTGTGTTGGCTACGAACTCAATTCCGTTGGTGCGTGGAGGTGTACACATTGATATCACATGATCATTTTGCAAGCTTTGTCCTGTATACGTGCAACCTTGAAAGGTTACCTTGAGTCTACTCTAGGCGTGTACTTTAGGTCAAGTAAAATAGGTTGGATGATGGGGCAATTTTTTTCTGACCTTATTGTTGAGGTTTTGAAAGATCTGTTTAGAAAGTATTGCAGGAAAAAAAAAAATTGGATTTCAAGATTCTACTCATCCTGCGTAATGCACCAAGCCATCCTTCTACCAATGGTGAGCTTTCTGAAAACATCAAAGTGCTATTTCTATCCCATGAAATACAACCTCTCTCCTTCAACCAGGGTGCAACAGCAGCTTTTAAAGCTTATTATTTAAAGGCACACATTTAAGAGGCCGCTGAGGGGGATGAGGACAGTGTTCTTCAATTGTGGAAGAGCTTTAACATCAAGAATGTAATTGACATTACCGTGAATGCCTGTGGTGATGTTAGTAAGGACTGCTTGCATGCAGTTTGGTGAAAGTTTCTCCCAGATATTTTACAAGATTTTAAAAGGCTTTGATCCATCAAAGGAGCTCCTAAGAATCAAAGAACGTTGCAAAATTAACACAAAGCAAGTTGGATTTGAAGAAGTGGAGTAAGGATGTTGAACAGTTACTTGAGTCCCACTATGAAGATCTCACTACAGCTGATCTACAACAACTTGTGGTGATGGGGTATGTGGAAACTGGAATGAAGTAGTAGTAGTCTAGGATATAGCACCACGAGAACTTTCCACTTCTGTTTTGTCTTCTATCCTGAGGGAAACTGAGAAGCAGTTGTAGCTCTCAGAGGGCAATGCTTACAATGCAGAATGTAGCAGGGTAGCAGTTTGTGGAATAAGATCTTATTTGGCACCCTATGAACAATTTCATGAAAGGAAAAAAAAGGCAAAGCAGCAAAAACTGGAGATAACAGTGTGGAACTGGAAGAACACAGCAGGCCAGGCAGCAGAGGAGTAGGAAAGTTGACATTTCTGAAGAAGGGTCCAGACCCAAAACGTCAACTTTCCTACTCCTCTGATGCCGCCTGGCCTGCTGTGTTCCTCCAGCTCCACACTTATCTCTGACTCCAGCATCGGCAGTTCTTACTATCTTTGAGCAAAAACTGGATGTCTGTTTTCAGCCAATCCCCAAGAACCAATGAACCATAGACTTCCATTTCTGGATTAACTCTTTTTCGCCCTAACCTCGCAACCACAACTGCACCTGAAGGTAGTGATGATGATGATGATGATGATGATGACGACCCTCAGCCCCTGCACTAGCAACAGAGCAACGTCAAAACGTCCTCCCCCATCAAGTTGTGATATTTTTAAGGTAAGGTGTTAAATTTACTTTTATTTCATTATTGGATATGATTTAAACATTTATTCAAACTGTGATCTCCTTTGTGTTAGGCTTTTGAGTAATGTTTGAGCAATTTTGAGTGATTTTTTTTTTGGTGGTCTGCCCCTAACCCTGTTTTTCCCCATAGGCTCTGTTTTTCTAAAGCGCGATTTTCTATAACACGATGTTGCACAGGAATGCAACTATCATGTTATAGCAGATCCGACTGTACCACAGAAGTCAAGGCTTATTTGGCTTTAAACTGGAGAAGCACAGTCAGATTGTAGTTAAACACACATGGGTAGTACTTAAGTGAAACCAGAATTTACGATAGCATTAGCATATCTAAGGAAGAGGCGACAAAATGGACCACAAAAACTGGAGTAACTGGAGCAAGAGATGTACTAGCAAAAGAGGAATGTGATGGGGATTAGGAGTTTTATCTTTGAAAGGCTCTCCAAGGTGTATCACAAGGTAAGATTAAGTTAAAGCATAGTCTGAAATAAGCTGGATATTTACATAGCCTACAGGTGAGTAAAAACCAAAGTAAAAATAACAGATGAAAACGTTAGAACTGGAAAACGAAAGCTGAAGCATGAAGTCATGACATGTGCAGGAGGCAGATTACTAAAAAGCAGATACAGCTACCACTGACGCAAAGAAATTGAGTTAAGAACAGAGAATGCCAAGCTGAAGAGAGAATTCGAGGATGCAAAAGTGGACTCCGAGTAACTCAATTCGGCAACAAGACGATGTAGCTGGAGGACACCAATGGATCCTAACAAAGAGGAGGATAAGCTCAAGACAGCCTTAGAGGAATAGAATATTGATTTCCTAAGGCACTGGTTAGCATCAAACAATCCACTAAAGCCCCAGCGCTTCTGTGTAGTGACTTCTTGGTTGTTCTTGCAAGACCATTTGGAAGGTGACAACGATTAGGGTACATATAGTGACTCTGAGCTTCAAGAGACTCATTCTGAAAGAGTGGTGTTTACGCCAATAAAACAATATACTATGATGTGTTGATCCATAATGGTAAAGCAAGCTGGGAGATAACTGCAAGACCCAAAAAGCCAAAAAAAAGGTAATGTTGAGAGTCCTTTGCCCAGCTAGAAGTCTGTGCCACTTAAGAACCAAAAGCAGCAGGATCCAAATTCCCTGTTTTCATTGCAATCTGGTGAGGCACTATGCTCATGATTACTGTAATAAATGAGGGAGACATGCTCACAAGGGCAGCAAGTCTTACTTCTCATCACCTTTTGCACCTTTTGAACAGTCCTGATCCTGTTCAGCAGCAGTTAAAGACTGAAGGCACCAACAGGATTTGTGACGATTACTAATGGTTGCTAAAGAATAATGGAGTACCCAGACAAACCACTTCAGACCTCTAATTTCTCAGAGAAGCAGCTCTTCAATAGAATAATAAACAGGAACAAGTTGACTGCACTTCTGATACAGTAAACCACCAATCAATTCCAGCCAACTCGAATTCCTCACCTATCACCAATAATCCTTGCTCAAACCATGAAAGGAGTACCTTTATCAAGTTAAGAGCACATCTTACATTCAAATCATTGTAAACAACATTTTGCTTTTGCGAAGGTC